GACCTGTCGGGCGTCGCCTCTGTTGAAAGTGTTGTCAGGCGGTTGCCTAAAAGGGCGTAGGGTTTTTTTGTAAGGCGGGTTCGTATTCCCAAAGTACACACAGCCAGTCCCAAGCTATGGCGGCGAGGAAGCGGACGACACTCGGTCAGCCCGTTTTTTTCATTGAAAGTTCAGCCTAGACACGCGTGATCCGAGCCTTGAGCCAAGCCAACGTTTCGCGCGCAATTCGGGCCCCACAGTCATGAACACCACAACATGTTTGGGTCCCCCAAACAACAAGAACCACGCTCATCAGCGAGACATGAGCTCCTGGCTCGGAAATTCACAGCATCCCCCATTTCGGTCAGAGGTTCATCCTTTGTTCGAAAGCAATCACAACAATCGGACGCTTTTGAGACAATGAGACGTTCTCAGATTTGAGAAAATGAACATTATTTGATGACAATATGCAAACAACCCTGCGCTCAAGCCATTCTCGTACCTGTGCTGAAACTCTGCGTCGGAAACCCCCGACATCGGCACACTGTGCAAGCAAATTCACACAGCGTAGGTCGACAACAAGATTCCGCTGGAAAACAATCCATCCGTCCGCGGAATAGATCTTGTTGGCGCGATAACTGGCGAGACTGCAACCGACCAAGTCTTCACCCAGCAGTCGTATGGAATTGCACATATACGCATGCGCCAGAGCCTGTAGGAAGCGATCTGCAAATAGCATCCAACTAGTCGTCCATGAAGATTTCATCCCTGTTGGCATGGCAATTCCTCGGCTCATCCCGGATGGCAAATCCCGTGACACGCCTCTTGAGCTCGAGATGATCATCGCCGTAGAATGTGACAGCCAGAGCCCTTTCGAGGAATCGCGCCTTCCTCAGACAAGTCGAGCTAGTGGTCTTTCATTAAACCTAGTGACTTCGACGCAACGCGCAGCTTGTGCCGGTGGAGAGTAGTTTGGAGGCCTGCTGCCGAACTTTCTCCCGAACGCAGCTCGTCATTCCTGATCTGCAGCGATGCGGTTATGTCGGAATTTGCAATCTCGTGCGTTGACGGCGGGATCGGAATTCCGTCTTGTTCCTTGCTCTTTCCGGCGCAGTTTTTGACCAGCCTCCCCGTCTTGCTTGCCCCCACCTGTCGCTACTCTGCGTTTTCACTCCTGCAAAAGCTTTGAAATTGAAAACCCAGCGATGTGTCCAGCCGCACGGCCCTCGTCCAGGAAAACTGGCTTGACCTGGTAGCGATACCTTGGCACTCATCGAAGCGCCTAATAGTTTCGTCAAAGTTGTTCTCGGGCATCATCGTGGGTCTGTTCTTCGGCACGCTGCCCTGCTTGCTTCTCAAGTATCCTCATGCGCCGTGTCACCCCATTGCGCGCCTCCTCCTGCGGCATGAAGCCGACCAGGAAGATGAGGCTTGGCAGCAAACCTCCAAGTCGCGGCAACCTCACTGAAGGTGTCAGTGCGTGCCACGATTGCACCTCTCGAAGTGACACCCGCATCATATGCCGGCCAGCACGCTGCTTCGGATGCGAGTTGCAGCAACGGGTTCACACGCTCCAACACTCTTGGGAAATTGCGTCTGGGTTGCAATGTCGCTCGAGTCCCCAGAAAGGCGCCGAAGAAGCGCTAATACCCGTCGCTACCTAACACGCGGGCGCGACGGTCAGTGCTTGAATCCGGTAAAAGTGAGCTCGTTCTGGAAAAAACCAAAGACCGCTGACCCATCCCCCCAGCGTCGCCCGAGTTTGGTTAAAATTTCGCGAGCAAGTCCCGCATCGCGCGCCGCCGCAGCCCTCGAGCCAACATAAGCAGGGCGACGCGTACCTCCGACATCTTTCCTGCGGTTCCGAAGTACCGTCCGGCTAGCATCAGCCTGAACCGGATTCAAGCACGGGTTGCCTCATCGCAGCGTTGTCGTCGTCAAGTTAATGACAGTGACCGACGGTTCCTCCAAAGCAGAGCAGCGTCTTCCGGGATTCCATGAAGTTGCTACTGCCTCAGTCTTTAGTCGAAACTTCTTGATATCGACCCCCCTGGTAATTCTTCCTGGCAACGTGACATCACCTCGAAGTAACTGACGAGCATCTTCAGCCCATCGCCCAACTTCTGATTTTTTTCGCAAAGGATGCGCGCTGCTTCCTCCAAGGCCCGACATTGACGCGAGACAATGTGCGCCGCGTGGCGCTGCCCGAGTCCCGTGTCAGCCTCTCCCTGCACACGTGCTTTCCGTCTTGTCGCCTGAACATGCCGATGCTTCATCTTGGGATCGACCACCAGCGAGTTCAGCAAAACACCTTCTGAACAGATCTTGGCTGATTGCTACCCCAGCCATCCTCGATGAGACCGCTGGCATTGCAGCTGACACACGTGCTTTTGCACACAGCGCAAAGTTTTCCCATGACAAAGTACATCGACGACCGTGCCTCTTGCGCGCCACTTCTTGGTCGCGGGTAACCATCTGCGCGACTGATAGCCTGCGGGCTTGGGCGAAAATTTTACAGGCCGGGGAACCAAATGCCAATGAAGTACACAAAGAGGACAAAGAACCCGGTGCACACGGCTCAGGAAGCAGTGGATGCCCCGCAAATCCTTTTGCGAGGGGGAAGGCCTGCGCAAACCCCCGTGACGGAAGGGCAAGAACTTGAGCCAAATTGCCATTTGGCACGTAGGCATTAACCGGTCTAACACATCCCGTGAACAAAACACAGGCATGATCAACGCCCGGGGTTGCTCAAAAAGGAGAAGGCCAAGTTGGCTCGGGATGTGCTTTCACACATTTGGCTGGCAAGCCTTGGATTTGGAATTGCCTCATGAACATTGAGCACTCTTGTAGGCTTAACGTTGATGGCGTGCTCGTACTGAAACAGCTTCGCTTGTCGGAGGCAAATAGGAACGCAGCAATTCATGAAATCATTCGGGCTCCAACATGCGGGATACTTACGAGCACTGAAGAAACGGAGGGGAAACATGGGGCGGCAGACTCAATGAAATGGTTCGAGTAAGCAACCCCTTCAGGGGCCGTCCTGCCTGCAAATCCCGCCATGATTCTTGATTGCCAAGGCACACGACGTCGAATCCTGCTGGGCATTGCCGCGTTTTTGACATCCAAGTTGTAGAGGCCGTCCTTCAAGCGTCGGGCAAGCATCACGCCTTTGGCGGCACCGCATCGCATCGCCAGCGTCCGTCCTCACGCAACTCCTTGACAACGGCAGCCATGTACTGCCCGTAAGATTCACCTCGGATACAAGTGTGTACCATGCAGGTTCCCCGCAGAAACCAAAGTTGCAGGCAGGTAGGCTGCCGGGAAGAAACTCTCGCTCTCTCTGGGCTTGTCTTGTTCTGATGGCCGTTTGATCTGTTTCAAAGGGACACAAGAGAGCAAACCGAAATCCCATGTGGAATTGGTCCAAATCCCGAAAAAGGGACACACCCCACCATCCACCATCATCCACTCCCTCTCTCTGGGAGCCCGCGCTCCAATACTCGACTTTTTCATTGACTTCGAACCGCTTCTCGGGCCCCGTCGGCTCCGTCTGAGGCCAACGGATTTTGCCTTAGCACACGCTGGGCTTGTAACATAGCAACGCAACGGGCAAAACCAGCGGACAAAAACGGAAAAACAGAAAGGCGACGAGCCGAGTACTGCAAATTACAAAAAGGAGGCCGAAACCGAAACCGAAACCCTTTTGTGCGTTGCCAGGTTACTGGGATCAGCCCGCTTCTTGATGCTGAGGTCAACCCGAAGAACCTCGTCATCCTGAGTTAGCAACCGGAACGCCGGGAAGGAACAAGTTGCACAGTCCTTCTCAAGGACATCCTGGACCTCTGCCTCCATGTAACTTGAGTGAGTGTTGCTGTAATACTCGACCTGGCTCACAAACATCGTCAGGAAATTTTGCCACGGAGCGGCACCTTGTCGCCTTTCTGCAGCTCGCCCTTTCTCCAGACCTGCCGAAAGTGTCGCCATGGAAAAGTGCAACGACCTCCTTTTAACGTTTTAACGTGTTCCCAACAAAAACACAGCATGCGAAGCGCCTTGCCGTCCCGCGGGGCGGGCTTCGGCACTGGCGGGGGTCCTCCAAATAAAACCGACTCGGATCAATCCGCCGCGAACATGGGGGGATCTGAGCCGCCGGCGGTGCCATAAAAACTTCCCATCGATGCCGCCGTTGGTGTGGCCCTTGACCTGCGCAGAAACCCCTGCTATGTCTCAAAAGTAGTCAAGATGAAAATTCCAAAGCCTCGTTCTGCTCCTTCAGGCCTTGCAGCTGCGGTTTTTCCCTCTCCACACAGTTCCAATTTAAAAGAAGGAAAAAAACGCAAGGCGGGCACCGTTGGCAAAGTATGCCTGACGCAACACGCGGGCGTGGCTACATGGCGCCCACTTGTTCAAGCCTCCGCCTTCTGGACACCGCCTGGCAAGTTGCACGCGACTGGCACACGAGACTGGCCATCTGAACTGCGACCAGGTCGATCTTCACGCCTTCGAGTCCGATGACATCCCTGACGCGCAAGCGCGACGCTTGAACGCTTGGCGCATCTAAAGACTCACGGCGCAAAAATGCCCAAAAAAGCAAACGCCGCGGGAAAACCCTTAGCTTGCCAGCCTGAGCTCCATTTTTTCCACCATGGCGTTTGGCGTGGACAGCGTGGAATGTTTCATCTAGGGCTGGGATGGTCTGAAATCGGTAGTCAAGGCAACTTTTTGTTCAAGACGGCTTGGTGCAGAAAGTGGCGGGCATGCAAGAAATGTTGCGCGAAAACTGGAAACACTTTGCTACAGGTGAACAGATGCTGTGCTCTGAGCACATTTCCGCGCACTGGAGCCAGAGGCTGGCGGTGCGACAACTCCAAGGCAAGACTTTGAGCACCACTGCAAACCCAAACCACCAGGGCGCGTCTTTTGGGGGAACCCCTTTTTTGGCGTCCTTGTTCAGCATGCGTGGAACCTTCTGGCGTGTTCCTTTTGGGTCCTTGTGCAATGCACCTCGCTGCCCGTCTCGCCTCTGCCTGGCACCGCCACACCTCCGCCTGACGCAACAAAGGCCCAGGCCACGGCAAGCGCCAAAAGAACCCCAAATATGTACGCACGCGAGCTCCGGAAACACACTAAAAACACGCTTTGGACCTCCCAAAAGGAATGGGAGAAATTGACAGTTCCAGCCCGAACTAGAAACACTGAGCGCCTCTGCCTCATGGGCCAGGAGCAAGGCCTGTCGCCACAACATGCGGGGTTTGACGAGGTGGAATCAACGCAAAAAGGTCGGTGTCGCGCAGCTCCCGCGGGTGGCGAGTGCCAAACAAGCCAAACAAGCCCCGCAGCATCTTGAGGAATTAAAGCCTCACCCCTTGTTGGCGCCCGCAACTCCGAAACTCCTTGAGACTCCGAGGCGGGCGCCAGAAGCACCTGGCGCGGACTTTGATCGCTACCTGCCTTCGCATGCCAAAGGCCGCCACGCCTTCCTGGTCATGGCGCGCCGCCATGTTGGCCATGGCACGAAACACTCTTGACTGCGACTTACAAGCTGAGGCCAGTGGGGAACTGGCTGCGTGGCACGGTGCGGTGGTGGAGTGGCAAAATGAAGCAGATGTGACGTCACATGTGAGCCGCTTCTCACGTCCGAGCAAGCAAGCAACGACTCGTGCGCCCGAATCCGGGGTGGCCCGGTCGACCCAAGCGTCGGTTGCGTAGGCACTTTTCTCCTCTGAAACCTCAAAGATAGAAGTACCAGAACCAGTCCTTGGCCGTGCCGGAGGTCCCATCCAAGGCTGGTAAATCCAAGGCCATGGCCATAGACAAGTGAACCGTCCTCAGCCACGTTGTTTTCGAGTTCTGGCGACTCCTCACGAAGTCGGGGATCTCTGAGGTCCTGACCGCTTGTAGTAGGCGGCTCGCTCAAGCACCGCCCGTGCCTGGCAGAAGAAAGCTGCTCCCGCCGCAAGCCGCTGCATGCAGGTGCAGTGGTGCTCCCGGTGGCGATGGTGCACATGATATTTTGCATTCTGATATGGGTGTTGCGGTTAGAGCAGTGCCCCCTGAGTGTGTTCGGCATGCAGCAATCTGATCACAGTTCCTGTCTGCGAAGTGCACCCTGTGTGTCAGCCCCACCCTTGCACGTGTGTTATTGTGTGGCCACTCCGGCACATGCAGGCTTTACGACATCGGGGTGGTTGCCGAAGTCATGGCCACTGAGAAAGCCGCCCAACTTCACCTGCCAAGCGGCGGCGTTACGGCATTGGGAGTGGGGGCCTCGCTGGCCCGCCTTCGGCTCCCAAGCGTCGATGTCTCGCAAGACCTGCAAGTACCTGTCGTGTGGGGAAACCCTGTTCACTACTAGGGCGTCCCTGCTTGAGTGGGATTCATCCCTTTCGGAGGGGGGGCGCCACTGGCGGAGTGGGTGCAGGGCTGGTGCCAGCTAATATGAAAGTGGGAGATTGAGGCCGTTCCATGCACTTGCAAGCAAGATGGTCACGAATGGTCGCCGTCGATAAACACGCCGTCTACAGAGTGGTCAGGCCTCCGGCACACCAACAGTGATGTGGTCATCCCCATATCATCCCATGTCAGCCCCCTTACTGCTAGAGGCATCACATATTCACGGACTATAGCTAGATTTATCTTTTTCTTCTTTCCTCTGCATCTTGGGCATCTGTCATTCTTTCGTTCTGTCTTTCCCTTATTTTCTTCTTTGTTCCTTTCTTTCTTTCCTTCCTCCCTTTTCTTTGTTTCTTTTCTTTTCTTTTCTGTTTTTCATTCTTTATATATTTCATGTGTTCTTTTGTCGTTTCCTTCTTTATTTCTTTATTTCTTTCTTTCTTTCTTTCTTTCTTTCTTTCTTTCTTTCTTTCTTTTTTCAATCCTTCTTCTCCCTGTCTCTCTCTCTCTCTCTCCCTGTCCCTCTCTCTCTCTCTCTCTCTCTCTCTCCCTCTCTGTCTCTCTCTTGCTTCTTTTGTCACCTGTCTGTCTTTCCTTCTTCTCTCTCTCGCTCTCTCTCCGTCCCTCCCCCTCTCTCTCTCTCTCGCGCTTTCTCTCTCTTCTTTCTCCTTGTCATTGTTCCTTTTCTTTCCCTCCTTCCTTCCTTCCCTTCATTCCCTTCCCTCCTTCCCTCCTTCCTTCCTTTCTTCCTTCCTTTCTTCCTTCCTTTCCTCCATTCTTCCTTCCTTCCTTTCTTCCTTTCTTCCATTCTTCCGTCCTTTCTTCCTGTCTTTCTGTCTTTCCGTCTGTCTTTCTGTCTTTCTGTCTTTTTGTCTTTCCGTCTTTCTGTCTTTCTTTCCTTCCCCTCCCCCTCCCCCTCCCCCTCCCCTCACCTCACCTCCCCTCCCCTTCCCTTCCCTTCCCTTCGCTTCCCTTCCCTTCCCTTCCCTTCCCTTCGCTTCCCTTCCCTTCCCTTCCCTTCCCTCCCCCCCTCCCTCTTTCTTTCTTTTCCTTCTTTCTTTATCGTCTCCTAGCTAGGCATCCAGCCACCCAAACGCACGCCTACAGCGCTCCGACCAGGCATCGCGATCAAGCGAACTTCCCACCATCCCAAGCCACCGAAACCCGCAAAGGGTGGCCCTTTTGGAACATTTCTTTCCCCTTGCGCACTCATGTTTTCGCGCACGCTTGTTCCTTCTTTCGCCATCTGTCGCGGAGAGCTAGCAGTCAAATAGTTGCCCGTGCCACGGAATTTTCTTCTATGCTTCCTTTCTTCATAAAGATGGGACACGCGTTGCCAAAGGCTTGCTCTCTGCGGCACTCAAGCTTGAAAAAAATGTCCAGCTTCTTTCCTGGGCATCTGGCACCATTTCAGCTGCTTCGACCTGATTCGTAGCTCAGCACTCTGTCTGCAACATGGCAAGCCCGGTGTGCCACATCCGTACCCCAGGCAACAAACACAAGCCTTCTAGGCTCGCTGCAGATGGCATGGCCTTGAGCTGTGCAACTCATCAGTCGCAGCTCGCGATTTGACGCGGCGATTCTTTTCGCGGCAGCCGGGCGCTTTTCCACGGAACGAGGCCGGTCGGTGAAACGCTGCGCAAATCGACGATTCGACGTCAGGGTCGGCTCCAGACCTCCGGACGCCAAGGTCGTGGTCGCACGCACGTGAGGCACAAGCACCGGGGTCAGGGCAGGTGGTGCGAAGTGCACGTCTTGCACGTCCGTCTGCTCAGGCTGCTGCTCCTGACAACCCCGAGGGCCAGGTCTGCCTTCGAACTATCGCTTCACATCCGCTCCTCGTCCTCATCCACCACACCCGCTGGGGAGCGGGTAGCGCGCTTCACCTGCCAAGAGCTCTGTCTGACACCGAGCCGGACCCGTGCCGAACGCCTTCCGGACAGAGGTGTCTGCGCTGCCATACCTCGAAGGCTGGAAAGCAGCCGGACAGCAAGACCGCAAGGCATGAAATCACATGCTCGCCTGGGCTGTAGCCGATCTTTCGGCCTGCGGTAGCAGGATCTCACACCATGGCACAATTGCTTCGTGCAAAGAGCAATGCTGGATAGGTGCCCCGCGCATTGCGGGTGCCCCAATACATCACCCCAATGACCATGGCTGTGACCACCACCTGCCGGGCCCAAATTCATCCGGAATATGCCATTGGGCCGTCTGAGGCGCCAGGCCATGCTCACTTGCAGGAAGGCCACCAGCTTCCACTGCGCCTGCGCCTGTCGCAAGCTGCGGCCGGGTGGCCGGGAGGGCCCTTCAGACGCGAACGAGCGCGAGTTCGGAGCGCCGCCTCAGCGGCTCCTCAGAGGCAACGGAAGGCATCCGACGAAAATCCGACGAGTTAGCCGTGGGTCAAAACCCATGGAAACCCCCAGTGAACATCCCAATCCCCACTAAAATAGGTTCTAAAATGGGTGGTGGATTCACCTATCCCAAAATGGGCTCCCCTTGGTTTTGATCCATGGCCGAATCGGTTTCCGCCGGGCTGAGGTCGCGGACGTGTGGAGCTCCCGGAGCTGAGCAAAGACGCCTCGACCGCTCCAAGGCGCTCGCTCTTGGCTCTCAAGTGCCATAAAATATCCCGCGTGCTGTTCCGCTGCACTTGGACGACCAAGGCTCATGCAAAACATGCGGCACAGATAGGAAGCAATTCAAAGTAGCTGTCAAAAGCGGACTCCAGGCAAGTGCAATGGCTCATGGCTCAAAGCGAGCGAGCACCTTTGCAGCTTCAAAAAAAAAGAGCAGCTGACAAAACTCGCAGGTCACTCGGGGTCTGCACAGCATCCTTCACTCGCCAGGGCGGAACATGGGAAAACTGGAAAGAGAGAGAGAGAGAGCAAGAGTCTCCCTTGTTTGTTGTTGGGATTTGCGAGCCCCCATGTCCACTCAACAGCACACTGCGAGTGTAGTTGTAGGCCCCGAGTTCATCCGTGGTATATCGGTTTTATCTTTCTGCGAACCGGCCACAAAAAAAGGATGGGCTGTTGTTTGTGGGGGATGGGAGCCTAGGGTTTCTCAGGTCAGCTTAAGTTGGCTTAGGCAAGGATAGGTTTAGGGCGGGTTTCAGGTAGGTGTAGGGTTGGCCTAGCTATTGCAATTCATGTCGCAAACCATGGGGCCTTTTTCTATAATCGCCAAGAATTCCAGCCCTAAGCTCTTAGCTCCAAGCAAAAGGATACACGATAGCAGCTGATGGCGCATGCGACGTCTGGATGCTTCCGGTCTGCCTGGACTTTCGGCTTGTCATCTCTCTGTCGAAGCTCCTTTCGTGTCTGACTTGAAAGTATGTACAAATCGGGATCTGGTCCCCCCCCCCAAAAAAAAAAGGTGCTTCCCTTGTGGTCTCCCATTGCGCTTGTCGGTGAAGAAGTTATGCTGCTCTGCTTTTGTGAGTCGCCCCACTCTGCTTTTCGCCACCCCCCCCCAAAGAAAAAACAAAAGAAAAAAGGCCACAAGCAATGCAGCAAGAACCGACGCCGTCCTCTCTGAGCTCCTTGTTCTCTTCCTCCAGCAATGCCTCGCGCTTCCATCGCTGCGCGCACTTTAAGCGGACCGCGGGCGCGCGCGTCCGCGCCTGCGCCACAGAAGCGACCTGAGCTTCGCCCGCAAAGGCTTCACCTTGGAGGGCTTGACCTGGAAGCAAGAGCGATGAGCAAAATCTTCACATGACTCAAAATCCGCCGACATTGCTCGGCGTGTCGGATACTTACTAGAAGATAGAGCATAACCCCCCCCCTAACCCCCCCCCGCCCGACGTCTATTACGTAGGTTTTTTTTTTTTTGGGGGGGGGAGGGGGGGGGGGGGGGGGGGGGAGGTGGGG